TGGTGGAGTCCTCTCGAAGGTCGCCTACAAAATGAAAACACAGAGAGGGCGCGATGCGAAGTGTGCTGGCCCTAACAGACAACATTTGGTGTCCACCCTTGATTGTTGTTCGAACTTTTCAATGTGCCTCCCCACCCCCCCACCCCCAAAAAAGAGAGCAAGGTGACAAAGATCATCTCGGAGGGATCAAAGACAACCTAACCCTAAAAGACATGTGAAGTAGAGCGAACAATGAAACTAATCCGACGGGCGTCTTGCCTGAAGGAAAACCCAACGACAACATTTAGACATCAATTAAAATGCTTTGAGAAATTTTTAGATTTTTTTTGGATACTTTCTCCATTTTCCTAGAGTTAAATCTTATTTTGGAAGCTTCTTGGGATATTTTCATGTGTTCTAGATATTTTGTTTTGATTTGTCGTATCACTATGTATTGTTATAATTGTTCTTAAAATTTTTAGAAGCTTAGAGATATTTTTATAGTTTAAAACCTCATATTAAAATCAGGACCGAAGGTAAGTTGAATGGTTTTAGAGTTTTGACTAGTTTTTTAAACATAGTTTTAGAATTTATTATAAGAAGAAAAAATCAAAGTTCGAAGTAAAATAGTCTTTTTCGTGCTAATTGCTATGGGTCCGATCCACGGGCCGCTCATGACCCATGGGCCGACCTCAACGTTTTTAACCGGAAAGCACCACAAAGCAAACATGGCAAATCATCCGTCCGGCCCTCCTACAGGCGCGCCACCAGCATCCAGCATCCAGCCATGCGGTTGTGGCGGCGCTACGCGGTGTTCCTTCGCCGGGCGTCCGCCTTGCCGTCCCTGCCACTGGTGGCCTCCCTCCACGCCGCCGTGCTCCGCCGCGGGGTCTCCGGCCTCCTCGCGGCGTCCCTAATCCAGGGCTACTCCGCGCGCGCCCTGTTCGTCGAACGCCACCGACGCTCTCGTCCCTGCACCAAGCTCATGGAGCGCGCTCTCGGCGCCGGGTGATGCGCGGAGGAGCTAACACTTGCTATCATCCCCGGCGGCGGAGGCGAGGCGACGACAGGCGGTGGACGGTGCTCTGGCGGCGTGGCGCCACGCCGGATGGTGGTGGTAGAGGAGGCACGTGTTCGCTAGGGTGCCCCGCCCCGCGCTGCATCACTACACGTGCATGGTGTGTTAGAAATGATAGGCAATATAAACGACGAAGAACAGTAGATCAAGCACAGGGGATACGAGATTTTAACGTGGAAACCCCTTCCAAGCTGGAAGGGAAAAAACCACGGGCACCAGCCAGCAAATCTTCACTATATCGGGTGAGGTTACAAACGTCGAGGATTTACAACTTTTCTTATCCCAAGACGACGGCTTACATGAAGTATATATAGAGAGGAAAAAACACACACCCTCGTCTATTAGCAATACGAAACTAATAGATGGTGTAGTCCCTCTTAATGCTAATGGGCCGCTTCGCTTCGGCCCAAGCTTAAATTTGGATCATAGCTCAACAAACTCCACCTTGAGACAAATTCCTTCTTATAGCATAAAATGAACCTTCACCCTGAAACAACAAAGAAATACTTCTGGTGCCAAATAGCCTCTTGGGCTAAATAGTTATACCAACTAAGCTTGAGCAAAGCTCAAACTTAGCAATAGGAACTGGCTTTGTCAACATATCAGCAGGATTATCATGTGTGCTTATCTTGCATACCTTCAGCTTACCTTGTGCGACCACATCGCGAACATAATGGTATTTGACATCAATGTGCTTCATTCTCTCATGGAACATCTGATCTTTAGTGAGATATATAGCACTTTGACTGTCACAAAATAAATTAATGCAAGAATCATCTCCACAAAGCTCAGCAAACAAACCTTTCAACCAAACTGATTCTTTACATGCTTCAGCAACAGCCATGTATTCTGCTTCAGTGGTAGATAGGGCAACAACAGGCTGCAATGTTGTCCTCCAACTCACAGCATAACCACCAATAGTGAACACATAACCTGTGAGAGATCTTCTCTTATCCAAATCAGCAGCAAAATCTAAATCCACGTAGCTAGTGAGTCCCTTATCAGTCCTGCCAAACTTCAAACAGGCATTTGTTGTGCCACGAAGGTACCTAAAAATCCACTGAGCAGCCTTCCAATGTTCTTTACCAGGATTAGCCATGTATCTACTAACCAAACTCATAGCATATGATAAATCAGGACGAGGACAAACCATGGCATACATCAAAGAACCAACATCACTAGAATATGGAACTCTTGACATGTACTCAAAATCCTCATCTGTACTAGCACATTATAAAGCTGATAATTTGAAATGAGGAGCAATAGGAGTACTAATAGACTTTACATCATGGATGTTGAAACGATGAAGAACTTTCTTAATGTAACTTTGCTGCCTAAGAAATAACAAACCAGAATTTCTGTCTCTTGTAATTTTCATACCTAGAATCTTCTTAGCAGCACCAAGATCCTTCATCTCAAACTCACTACTCAACAGTTTCTTCAACGTAGTGATTTCTTTCTTGCTCTTGGCAGCAATCAATATATCATCAACATATAACAGCAAATATATAGGTGATCCATCAACAAATTTAATGTACACACAGCTATCAAATTTAGACCTCTTAAAACCGTGTGACATCATAAAAGAATCAAACCTTTTATACCATGGACGAGAAGACTGTTTCAAACCATATAAGGACCCCTTTAATTTGCAAACATGATCCTCCTTACCAGGTACTATGAACCCTTCTGGCTGGTCCATGTATATCTCCTCCTCGAGCTCTTCATGTAGAAATGCAGTATTTACATCTAACTGCTAAAGCTCAAGATCTCGCATAGCAACAATATCAAAAAATATACGAATTGAACTATGCTTTACAACTGGAGAGAACACATCATTATAATCAACGGTAGGAATCTGACTGCAACCTTTTGCTACTAACCTTGTGAAAGCTCTAGTTTGGTTTTGGTGAATTGATGAAACCCTAAGTGCTAACCTAGTTTATCAAGTGATCATGAGATAGGTAGCACACTCCAAGTGGTGAAGCAAATGAAGATCATAGCATGATAAAGATGATGGCATAGTGATGATCAAGTGCTTCGACTTGGAAAGAAGAAAGAGAAAAACAAAAAGGCTCAAGGCAAATGTATAATTTGTAAGAGCTATTTTGTTTTGGTGATCAAGACACTTAGAGAGTGTGATCACATTTAGGATTGATAGCCGTACTATTAAGAGGGGTGAAACTCGTATCGAAATGCGGTTATCAAAGTGCCACTAGATGCTCTAACTCATTGCATATGCATTTAGGATCTAGTGGAGTGCTAAACCCCTTGAAAATGTTTGTGAAAATATGCTAACACTTGTGCACAAGGTAATACACTTGGTGGTGTTGGCACATTTACAAAGGAGGTGGTGTTTGCAGGGTTGAGATGGGTTTGGGAAAATGGAATGCCTATTTTCTATTGCGCCGGATGCAAATTCTTGTAGTTGGCACATTGGAGCAAGGGTGAAGAAGTTAGAAGTGAAAACGAGTTGATCGCGAAGACGCTGGCTTCGGTCTTCTGACCAGACGCTGGGTCTGAAAGCACTGGACCCTGGCTGCGTGTGTCCGGTCAAACTGACGGGTCTGCGCAGTGCCGAAGGTATTGCACCGGACGCTGATCTGTGTCCGGTCAAGGTGGACCGGACACGTCCGGTCAAAGAAATATGCCTCGGGGAGCTTACTGGAAACGACCGGACGCTAAAGTCCAGCGTCCGGTCACTTTCTAACTGACGCGTCCGGTCAGTAGACGACCGTTGAAATCTAACGAACAACATTTGAAGCAGGGGACACGTGGCGTGAATCACGTGACCAGACGCTGAGGGCCAGCGTCCGATCGATCGGACCAGAGCATCCGGTCACCCCGCGTTGTGCCCAGTGAAGGGGTACAACGGCTCTATTTCGTGGGGGCTTCTATTTAAGCCCCGTGGCTGGCTCAAGCTCACTCTCTTGGCCATTTCTATTGACATAGCATACTTGTGAGCTTAGCCAAAGCCCTCCCACTCATCTAGATCATTGATTCATCATCATAGTGAGATTGGGAGTGAATCCAAGTGCATTGCTTGAGTGATTGCATCTAGAGGCACTTGGTGATTGTGTTTCGCTGCGGATTTCGCTTGTTACTCTTGGTGGTTGCCGCCACCTAGACGGCTTGGAGCAGCAAGGATCGTTGAGTGGAGGAGGTGATTGTCTCCGACTCCGATCGTGGTGATTGTGAGGGGTTCTTGACCTTTCCCCGGCGGAGCGCCAAAAGGTACTCTAGTAAATTGCTTGTGGCTTGTGTGATCCTCATCTTGTGTTGGTTGTGCGGCACCCTATTGAGGGTTTGGCGAGTGATGCCAATCAGCGCGTGAACCTCCAAGTGAGTGAATCGCCACAACGAGGACTAGCTTGCCGGCAAGCAAGTGAACCTCGGTAAAAATCATTGTGTTTATCATTTGATTCCGAGGTGATTGGTCTACATTGGTATTCATTATTGTGATTGATTGGTTCCTACCACTACACGGCGGTATAACTCTCTTGCTCACTTTTACATTACCACAAACTAGTTATCAAGCTCTTTAGTGTAGCTAGTTGTGAGAGCTTGTTTGTTTGATTAGTGTTGCTCTTTAGTTAGTCTTTGAGAGCACACTAATTTAGCTAAGTGTCATAGCTATTGTGTGGACATACACTATTCGAAATAGAATTGTGGTAGGTGGCTTGCATTTTAGTAGGCTAGCGCAACACTCGCTTCGCCGCAAAATTGTCTAACACATTTTGTTAAGTGTTGTTGTAGAATTTTATTAGGCTATTCACCCCCCTCTAGCCATTAGGACCTTTCACCTTGCCTTAAATCTTGGAGGCTCACTAGAAGACAAACCCTCCTTTCTTTTGAAGATCCATTTGCAACGAACGGCCTTCTTGTGTTTAGGCAAGCGCACAACATCCCATATGTCATTTTTCTCAAGTGACTGCATCTCTTCTTACATAGCGGAAATCCACTTCTCGCGGTCACCAGAAACAACAGCTTCAGTGTACGTAGCCGGCTCATGAATGTTCTCAACCTGTTCAGCACAACTAAAGGCATAATGAATAATATCACATTCCTCAATTAAACGTGGACAAGGTCCACAACTCCTCTTTGTTCTGCGATCTGCAATAGACTGATTTTGAGGCTGCAAAATAGGAGGTGAGTGTTGAACAATATCATGAACATTGTTATCAACAATTTTAGTTTCCTAATCATCTACGTGCTCCACCTGCACGCTAATATGTTCTTGCTCCTCATCAGAATCAACTGGTGAAACATCTGTGGACAAGCTGTCATTAAACATAACAGATTCATTGAAAACAACGTTCCTGCTTATGAAAGCCATTTTAGTTTCAGCATTCCATAATTTATATCCTTTAACTCCAGAACCATAACCAAGAAACAGACACTTAATGGCTCTAGCTTCTAGCTTTCCATTATCAATATGAGCATAAGTTGTGCAACCAAAAACTCTCAACTGTGAATAATCAGCAGGCATACCAGACCATACCTCAATGGGAGTTTTCTTATTAAGTGGGATAGAAGGTGACCGGTTGATCAAGTAACAGGCAGTGTTAGCAGCCTTAGCCCAAAAATACATGTTCATACGAGCATTGGACAGCATGCAACGAGCCATCGAGATGATGGTTTGGTTCATGCACTCAGCCACACCATTCTGCTGAGGAGTGTACGGGACGGTGTGGTGCCTGACAATGCCTTCTTCCCTGCAGTAATAATTAAAAGCATTCGAACAGAATTCACCACCATTGTCAGTACGAAGCAATTTTACCTTCTTTTCAGTTTGTCTTTCTATCATAACTTTCTACTCTTTAAAAGTAGCAAAAGTATCATCTTTATTTTTTAGAAAGTAAGGCCACACTTTTCTAGAGTAATCATCAATAATGGTAAGCATGTAACGAGCACCACCATAAGAGGGCTTACGAGACGGCCCCCACAAATCAGCATGTACATAATCAAGTGTACCTTTGGTGGTATGAACAGATGCATTGAATTTTACACTCTTGTGCTTACCAAAAATACAGTGCTCACAGAACTTCATCTTACCCACAGTGCAGCCATCCAGCAGGTCTCTCTTGATCAATTCTGCCATACCAAGTTCACTCATATGCCCAAGACGCATATGCTAGAGATTAGTTTTACTTGGTTCATCATTAGAAACAGTAGCAGCAGTGATGGAACCATGTAAAGTACTTCCTCTAAGAACATATAACTTTGCAGAATTCATATCACCTATCATATGAATGAGAGAGCCTTTTGATACATTACACACTCCACCTGAACCAGAGTGTCTGAACCCCTCAGCATCAAGTGTGCTGAGGGAGATGAGATTTCTGGCCATCCCTGGTATGTGTCTCACATCTTTCAGTGTGCGTATCATACCATCATGCATCTTTATCTGAACGGAGCCAATGCCCATGATCTCACGTGGGTTGTTATCTCCCATACGCATGACATCTCCACTCTGCACAGACTTGTAAGAACTGAACCAATCTCTGTTAGAGCATATATGAAACGAGCATGCAGAATCAAGTATCCATTCATCAGGACCAGCAACACAACCAGCAAAAACAACTAGAACATCTCCTAAATCAGAATTATCAACAGCGGAGACAACAGAGGCCTTACCATCACCATCGGATTTATTTTTCGGTTTATACGTACTGTTTCTTTTCTCCTTATTCTGCAGCTTCCAACAATCCTCAATGACATGAGTATCTTTCTTACAATACCTGCAGAACTTATTCCTGCCTCTGGACTTCGAACGGCCTTTACCATTCTTGCTCTTGTCTCGATTATTGTTGTTGTTGTTGTAGATTTTCTGCTCGGGCCTGCCTCTAACCTACAACACTTCGCCCTTGGAGGACGATACATCAGACTGAACCATACCTTTTATCTTCTCCCTCATCTGGATGGCCTCATATACTTCCGCAAGGGTTAGTTCATCACGGCTTAATAGTATGATATATTGAAAATTTGCAAACGAAGTATGCAGTGAGCATAACAGTAGAAGAGCTAAATCTTCATCATCATATTTTACCTCATCGACACTAGGTCGGCAACGATCTCCTTAAAGATCGATAAATGGTTCATCAGCGAACTACCTTCTTGCAGCTTGTGCGTGAACAACTTTATCATCACGTGCATCTTACTGGTTAGATCCTTGGACATGCAGATCGATTCCAGCTTGAGCCAAAATTTTGTGGCAGTTTTCTCCTGCAGCACTTCTTGCAAAATATCATTATGTAGATGAAGTTGAATCAGAGACAGAGCCTTACGATCCTTCCGCTTCTCTTCAGCGGTCCATGACTTTTGCCCTTTTTCCTCCGAAACCATCCAGCGCCTCATCAAGATCCGAAGATTGTGCCAGAATCGTCCGCATCTTGACTTGGCACAGTGCAAATCTCGTCTTGTAATCCAGCAGCGGTAGATCAAACTTCATCGATGCCATCGCGAAACCCTAAGGTCAAACCAAGCTCTGCTACCACTTGTTAGAAACGATAGGCAATATAAACGACGAAGAACAGTAGATTAAGCACAGGGGACACGAGATTTTAACGTGGAAACACTCCCAAGGTAGAAGGGAAAAAACCATGGGCACCAGCCAGCAAATCTTCACTGTATCGGGTGAGGTTACAAACGTCGGGGATTTACAACTTTTCTTATCCCAAGACGACGACTTACATGAAGTATATAGAGAGAGGAAAAACCCCATACCCTCATCTATTAGCAATACGAAACTAATAGATGGTGTAGTCCATCTTAACGATAATGGGCCGCTTCGCTTCGATCTAAGTTTGAATTTAGATCACTGGAAATGCTGGGGCGCGCTGGGGAGGTCGAGGAGGCGGAGCGGCTCGTGGCCGGGATGGAGGCGCGCCCAGACAGGGTCATCTTCGCGGTGCTCCTCGCCGCGTGCCGCGTGCACGGCCGCGCCGACGTCGCCGAGTGGGTGGCCGGGCTCATGCGCCGGTATGGCATTGCGTGAAAACTCGCGGTCTGACTAATGGATCAGCAGTGCAGTTCAGACTCGAGATCTGGTGATCCATCGTCGTTCATCTTTTGCGATGATTGCTTGGACATGAAGCTGACTTTGTGGTAGTGACGTAGTGTTGCTTGTTAGTACATTGGATGTAGTCGTTCATGCAGCAAGAGCCCCTCTTGGCTGTGGCTGGTAAATTCAGAAATCTGTTGACTGACTGACAGTGTCTGCTATTGGTGGCAAGGTCTTCAGGTCAGTTCTGGCATCGCATGACATTGAGCCTGAATGACAAATGCCTCTAACCGATGCCCATGTGGTGTGTGAATGTAGATTGTCATGCCAATTTTCTTGTCAAATTCTCACATCAATTTGCTGGAGCCAACAGTGCAGTCATAGAACTTGTGAAACATGGATGCTTGGTTACAAAGTTTAGCTTCTAGTCAAGTTTTGTGCAACAAGGGTCTGATTGAGACTTCCATGAAACTGACAATTTAGGCGATGCTGTCATGCTTCAAATTAAGGTCTAGAACCTGCTGAGTTTCCAACATGTTCCGTGGTAGGGAATGTATTTGCTTACATTGTTGGAAATGGAATGGTCACTCGTGCTTAGAAAGCCAGTACTCGGCATTGTAGTATAATGGAGACATGCCTGAAGTAAGAATCTTAGCATCCAGATTTATTCGGTACCATACTTCCTGAGTTAACATGAAGAATGCCATCTGACTGGAGCTGTAAAGATCCTTCTGATAATTAGGATATGGCTGTTAGTCTGACAGAATCCAAAGTTGGGCCTAGGAATTTCAAAGATTCTGATACCGTTGCTGACAAAAAACAACTCAAATAGCAAGCTTGAAACCTGGACCACAGTAGCAGGGGAGACAGATACTGCACATATGCTTGAAGTATAGCAGTCTTACCGTTCGACCCCGTGATATGTTGGGTTGACATTAAGCCTGTCCTGTGATTGGAGCACTTCACATCGTTTGGATAAGTCACATATGGCTGTAATAGACTTGTAGAAAGTTGGGCCAGGATATTTCACAGATTCTGATACTGATCCTGAATTCCTGACTGAAGACAAATCAACGCATAAGCATCAGCATCCAAGGGCTGGAACAAGAAACGGATAAACGCATAAGCATCAGCATCTTTGCCCTTCCTTGCATCCAGAGCAACTCACGAAGGGAATTTTCATGGCATTCGCCTTATTCATGTCAAGCAATGATGAATCGACAATTCCGCGGCTGGCAGGGCGACTCTCTCCTGTGCCAGACATTTGTACGCTGATGCTGATCGCTGACAGGGAGAGGCACCCAGAGTCAGAGGTTGGCACCTAGCTGAAGCCTGAAGGCGAGCCCGACCACCATGGTGGCATCTGACGAAGAACCTGTCCCCGTGCACTTGTACAGGCTACAAGTACTGGTTCGAGGAATGCACCAGATTCAGATACTTGTGCCGCAGTGGCGTTTGCTCCACGGTGGGCTGTCTGCCAAGAACAGCGCATGGCCGTTGCTTTCAGTCTTTTACTAGTGCAGCACTGCCAAGCGTGCAAGGCTCCAACTCAGCTGCCGTGCCGAACTCCAATGAGCGTCGCTTTCAGTCTTGGTTCTATTCTAATCTGCCTGTACATGCCAAGATGTGTGCACTTTTGTCTTTCTCTCTATGCTAACGTTGGTGCCAAATTTTAGAGGAAGTATGCCAAATTCTGTTGTAACTTACGGCCGGGAAGTCTCATGATTTCTATGGTTTCCTATGAAGTTGAACAAATTCATGTTAAATTCTTGATTCCTGCATTTTAAACGGGCCCTTAAGTTCAGAAGAAGAGGAACTCAACATTTGTAGTATTTTGTACAGAACTTGCAAAACCCATCTATTCCAATTCTCAAATGAAATTCGTGGCCGTGGCACGTGGAGCAGCCGACAGTCCTCGCCGCACCATTCGTTCAGCAGCGAAGACCAATGCCAGCTGGAAGCATCCAGCACCGTCGATTTCCTCACAACCTTCATCTGAGCCGTTGCTTTCGCGTGTGGCCTTCCTGCTGGCGGCCGACAGGGTCCACCTCACCGCCTCCGTGCCGCCACCTCAGCCGGCGCCGGGGCCCGCGAAATCTCCTCGACCGCTGCTTTCTCTTCCTCCTCTCCTCCTCCGGTCCTCCCCCATCCTTTCCACCCATCATCCACCGCCTCCCTCCTCCCGCAGCGCGCAAAGCCCTATCCCTATCCCTATCCCCACTCGCCGCCGCCCGTCCACATGGCCAGTTTTGGCGTCGACACCCGCCCGGCCGCCGCGGCCTCCGGTGGCGGCGGCGGCGGCAGCGGTGGCGGCGTGGCGGGGACGACAGGCGAAGGCGCGCTCTCGTTCCTCTCCCGCGGGCTGCGGGAGGACCTCCGCCTCATCCGGGCGCGTGCCGGGGAGCTCGAGACGTTCCTGAGCGCGCCGGTGCCGGAGCCCGAGCTGTTCACGCGCCTCCGCCGCGCCTACTCCTCCTCGGCGTCCTCGGCGCGGACGCGGCTCGACCTGTCCGCGTTCGGGAAGGCGTTCGAGGCCGACGCGTGGAGGGGCGCCAGGGCCACCAGGTGGAGGTGGGAGGAGGAGGCCGAGGAGTGGGAGCCCGTCAGGATGGTCAAGGCCCGCCTCAGGGAGCTCGAGCGGAGGAGGCAGGCCCAGTCGCCCAGCGACATGCTGCACAAGCTCAAGCTCAGCTTGGTAAGCTTCCTAGAAACATTTGGTATAGTTCACTGTTGATTAGGATAGGATACTAAACCTCGAGAAGCAAGCAACAACACCCAAAATCCAACACGGCTCAAATTAAGCAGGACTGTCAACTTACTTGAGCCATTGAGCGTGTGCGTTTTGTCTTTCAATTGGAAGAAGTTGATTGTGGAAATTGTGCAGTTCCCTTTGGTGTCAAATGAAGATATTGATATTTGTTTGAATTTGTATGGGAATAAACTCTCATGCAATTCAAATTGAATTGCTTCGTGGACACAAATTTAATGTGGAATCGTGCATATTTTCTTAGTAGCTTTTCTAAATAGTAGTTTTTGATCCAAAGAGTACTTGAGAATTTGAAAAACAAGGTGTGAAAATTCGAGATTTTGGTTAGTATAGTTTCCATATTTGGAAGAAATGAGGCTAGAAGGAGCACTCTGGGACTGTTACCTCTTACCTGCTCAATAGATTTGATATTTCTATCATGTGCCACAGCAACTAATAGAATTTGATAGAATTGAAATTGCGAATCGTGTACTGAATGAATTAAGGAAAATAGTAATATTAAACAATTGGTGGTTCAAAGCTCATAGAGATGTTCTTCTGTGAAGTCTACAAGTCTAACCAATTTTATTTTCTTCAAATTTAGATTTATATAGAAGGGCGGGCCTGGTGCAAGCGGTAGAGTCTTATCGCCTGTGACCGGAAGGTCCCGGGTTCGAGTCGCGGTCTCCTCGCATTGCACAGGCGAGGGTAAGGTTTGCCACTGACACCCTTTTCCCAGACCCCGCACAGAGCGGGAGCTCTCTGCACTGGGTACGCCCTTTATGTTTAGATTTATATAAACATAACTTATAGACATTGAGGACTAGAATTCAACAATGAAAAGTGAGCAGTTGCAAATTTAGTCATAGTCTTCACTCTTCAATAGATTCAGTATCTGCATAATCATGTAATTTACACTTGCTTGGAACGTGTCAATCTTAATTAAGCTTATCTCGGGATATACATGATGCAGACTGCTCTTGTTCCTGTAGCATATTAATTGACGCAGCATTGCACTTCTTATTGCAGAAATCAATGACCTTTGCGCCTGAAGCGTCTGAGGTTAGTCCTCTTGATTCACTTCTTGTTGCAGAGTCCTGTCAAGGAGATTCACTTCTGAAATCTTTTGCTCATAGTGGCGTCTTTTATTTGCTTATATTTAATTACTGACTTCTGACATTGACTTTTGCAAGAATGTTCAATCTAAATAAAAATCATTATGTTAAATGTTGCTTTCAATACATTACTTATGTATAGTAATATGGTCACTATGTAACATTTTCCGAAATCCTGGTACACCTGATCTCTTTTGTATATCTTTGTAAATCCTTATTAAGCAAAAGATGAACATTCCATCTTGTTAGAACACAGTCTAATCAATCTTGTCCACTTTTGCATTTTCATAACTAGTATCGCTGTTGTGCAGGATGTTCCACCACTGGACTTAGGAGAACTTCTTGCTTATTTTGTAAAGCAATCTGTACCACTATTCGACCAACTTGGTATAAAAAGAGGTAAGATGCTTGATTTTTGTTTACAATAGCTATAATGTTTAGCTTGCATTGAGCTGATTATTCTTTCTCATCTGCTTTAGATGTATGTGACAAGTTGGTGGAGTCTCTATGCAGCAAGCGCAAGGACCACCCTGCATATGGGTTTTTGTCAGCAAGTGAACCATCTTCATTGAGAAATGAAAATGTTGGGGATGAAC